CCCACTCGGGGAAAGGAAGGGCCCCGCTCACAATAGACGACAGCTCGGCCCAGCACGGCCTGCACCCCCGCTCGGGCGGGGTTTATCTATAATTTGTAAAGCGGTTAAATGTGTTATGCAAAAATAGTTTTGGAATCCGAGATTTGATTTTGTGGCAATCGAAGGTTCTTGGGGCTCCCCGCGCGCGCCGCCATCGCCGCCAGAACCCTCTGCGCGGAAGGCGTTCGCGGCGGGGGTTAAGAATGGGACGGCGGAACGAGAGCGACCACCACCTTCCAACACCACACCTTTCAGCCACCTATACGTGAACGCATGTTCTTTCCACAGGGTTTGGTGGCAAAAAGACCAACAACAACCAAAGAACTCGGCAGTAAAAAAAAAAAAAAGAGGGGGGTTGTCGCATGGAACGGCCCAAAACACACGCATATCCACGGAGGCATGGGCAGACACAAATATATATATACATGCGGTTATGCCAAGATAATGCAAAAAAAAAAGAAAGAAAAAAAAACGGCAAAATAAACACAAATATGCAGAGCGGTCGCTGTCAAGATGAAGCTACGGGCCGCACCTTTCTCTTTCAAAAACAACAACGATACAAGAGCGCAGCGCGGGGGCATCACCCATGTGGCAGGGACCTCGCCCAACTAGCACACTACCCACTCACAAGGCACATACACACAAACACTCATACTCAGACATGCTTGCCCTCACTAGAGAGAACGCGTCACCGCGGAGACAGAATACTAAAGTGCAACAGCAGTGAACCCATATAACACCCATCCTCCTGTGATCTTTTCTTTTTCCTTCCAATTCTCTTACTTGTCTCTACCCCCCCCTCCCTCCCTCCCTCCACTTTTCTTACCATTAACTTTCGTAAGGGTTTCCGTCTTGATTTGAATATTTATTGCAACGTTTTTCATTTTACACTTCCGTTTTCACCCCGTTTTTATTATTGTAGTCTCCCTTTTTTTTTTCCTCATTCCTCCCCTAAACGTTGGGGAACTCTTCCTTTTTCGTTGTGGTTACGGAAGCTGGTGAGGACAACGGGGAGTTAAAGTGAAGTATGTATAATATATATATATATACTTCCTTCCGTTCATTCCCCCTTTTCACTTTCATATTGAATCGCTTCCATGCGTCGTCCTTAGAGTTTGCTCTCGGTCTTTGCATTCAAGAATGAAGCGAGCTTCGCCCGCACCATTGCGTACACTTCTGGCAGAGGGGGATTCCCATCCACCTCTATTATCACTGCTTCATAGTGCTTCATGATAGCTTTCTTCTGTTTTCGGTAAATTCTCATCCTTCGCTGGTGTTTCTCACGAGTGTCGTCGGAGCGGATGAGCAGACGACCCATGATGGATTCTGGCGGCGGATCGCTCTTTAAGTTGTAGATGCGTCCTGTAACGGGATCCAGACGACGCTGCAGACAACGTTCCTCTAGCACCTTTGGGTCCACGTTAATGAATATTACCGCATCAATGCGAAACCCACTCTTTGCGAGGGCTTGCGCCTGGCGCAACGTACGCGGAAAACCATCGAGTAGGATACCCCTCCCCTTCACATTCGGCTGCTGAACTCGGTTTATCACGATACTTACAATCAATTCATCTGGGATAAGGTGCCCCTCGTTCATGAGGACCGCAACCTGCCGCCCAACAGGAGTCTCCTTCTCCACCTCCTCCCGCATCAGATCTCCAGCACTAATATGGAGCAGACCAAAATCCCGCTCGAGAGCCCCGCTCATTGACCCCTTTCCGCAACCCGGCGCACCAAAGAGTAACAAATTCATCGTTGTAGTCTGCAGCAAAGGAGAGCAAAGGCGACTACCAAACCCTGCGGACCCTATATCAAGTGTTGCACAACAGTTTTGAATGACACACCGTAAAGGCGCTACACTTATGGCGCATACACACATTATGTATATAGTTACAACAAAAAGAACCAAGAAAGAAGAAGTAATACAAATAGGGGAAATCAAACTCAAAAGGCCTGTTGAAGGGAAACACACTGAAAACACGCACGCGTACACACACACACACACATAGAGAGAGAGAGAGAGAGAGAGAGAGAGAGAGAGAGAGAGAGAACACATAC